CCCTAGAGGAGGTTAGGTCCCCCCTAGAGGAGGTGGTCATGCCACACGTACACGTGCATGCATGCGCGAGTCATAGTGAGATATCTGGATTCAGAGGTTTCTTTTTCTTTGCACAGCATGAAAGAAAGGTGAAATGAATGGGCTGTGATTTTAGTTTTTTTAAGCAGAGGTCAATAATTTGTACGGCCCTCGGAGGATGTTGAAAACATTGAAATGGCCCTTGAGAGGAAAAAGGTTCCCCACCCCTGATCTAGAGAATTGGAACGGCTCTTGTCATGGCTGCCACTGAGATACTTCCGGGTCATTTCACTCAGTTAGGAATGTTCCTAAGCAAAACGGACTATTCGACCTCAACCTTGGAGCTGTAGCTCAATGAGGCATTCAAGGAACCTCTGTGAAATATAACTTAGATAGAAATTCAGCTAGAAACAAGCTCAACAAAGTTATTAAATACAAATAATAATACCACAGTGGGAAAATAACCCATTACAAGCAAACGCCCTGCATTCAAACCTCACTTATGAATCTCCAGCAACAGACTTCTGTGTTCGACACACAGAAGGCCAACGGTCACTGGATAGAGGAGAGCAGCACATCCGGGTACTTTGCTCCAAAAGACACTTCAGAGTCAAAATTAGACAATATTAAAATACATTAGGTGAATTAAAAAGTGATAAAAACATGGAGAATATATTCCCAACAGTTCATACTTACCCACATTTAACCAAATGAAGTCCAAACATGTATTTTTCACTAAATAATCACTTCTTGTTTAACAGACGTTATTAGTGCCGCTAGCTTCCATAAATCCTGGTGTCCATAGCAACAGAGGATCGCTATAGCAACGGAGGATATGTTATGGGGATTTCCCATAATGCTTTGCCACTATTTTACTATGTACTTCAGTGTTACACCAGCAGGGGGCGCAGCTTCCCTTCAAGCAGAATGTAACCCTGACTGTTTGAACTACACTTGTACTTTACCTGAGTATATCAGGTCCCCCGTAGGCTCGCTGGTTCAAGTCCCCGACCAGACCTAAATATGGAGTGTGGACTGATACTTGGAGAGGTCCCAGTCCACCTCCTGCCCTGCTGTGGTGCCCTTGAGCAAGGCAGCGGACATCCCCCTTCCCCTCTCACTCCCATTGCTCCCCGGGCGCTGTACAATAGCTGCCCACTGCTCCTAGTACTAGACTCCTGGTACTAGTATGAGTTAAAAGCAGAGAACAAATGCCACTGTGTGTGCTCTGCATGTGTGACCATTAAAGAGGGGGTTCATCAACTATTCTATCAACATTTTGGTTTAAATATTAACAAAAATGTTGCTTAACTTATTCATTTTATAAAATAATTGTCATCTTATGCAGGGGCGCCGCCAGGGATTTTGGGCCCCACCACCAGGCCCAGGCCACGCCAACCAAGCACAATTGCTGTAACCACACCTCCAGAACCCAACCCACTCATTCATGCTTTAAATAACTCTACCTGTACAGGCTTGCATCTATCTTGTAGTCCAATACTAACCGCACAATATTTACTGACACTGAGCGGTGAAAATATAACACTGTGCAGACTGCAAATTCTACTGCATCATTCTGCTGCAGTAGAATTCACTATTTGATATAACACTAACATTCCTGACAATAGACCTCAATAGGCATCTTTTATGGTGTACATGCCTTTTTAATAACATTTTTGAATGGAACATTCAAAAATCAAAATAAATATAACTTAAATATACATGACCTCTTAAATTAAAATAAAGTGAACATTAACACCAATATTATCATTTATAAAATGCTATAACAAAAAAAATAACATAAGCAGCAGATTTTTTTATTAAATATACCAACTACAAAATAAGCGGGTATTAAATTGTAAACGGACAACAAAACGGAAATGGAAATGAAAAGGCCTGATGGTGGTGCTAAATCAGAGCCTATTACCTGTTCTCAGTCTTTTTCTCATCATGCATCTTGTGTGTAGTGATCCAATATCGTTACCATAGCCTTGCCCTTTAACAGTTATTACGAGCCTTTGCTCAGCCTTACTCACCAAGAGCCCAGCGCCTAGCCTTCTCACAGGCACTGATCAAGTCCTTGAAGTCCAGCTTTCTAGCCAACTGGCTTTCAATGGACAGCATGGCAAGACTGCAAAGCCTTATGGGGGGACAGGGCTGCTGAGCCTAGAGATGGATCTGTTGGTCCTGGCACCAGGGGGGGGGACAACTGATTTAGAATAGCTGCTAAAAATGTACCTGCATTTGTTAAATGTCAGCTAAAAGAGCAGTGAAAAGAAAAACCTCTGAATTTTCTGTGAAGATATTAACAGTACTTAATGTCAGCAAAACATTACAATTATTATTTACAATGGACTACGCTTAGCTAACAGACACATTTCCACCACTCATGGACCACACCCACCTTTTCTTTTGAAACACTGGGTGACATACTGTCACCCTTTAGTCCCTCTCTCTTGTCTTTCTCTCCTTTCTTTTCTTTTTTGAAAGCCTGACTTTGTTAGTCGTTGAGACATGGCACACACGTTAAGTACTAGCATCCCTGCTCCTCACATGCTCTCACTCTGCTCTCTAATGATATGTCGGTCGCGAACGAGCCGATTCTTTTGAACGGCTCTTTGGTACGAACGAGGGGAACCGAGTCGTACCAAAGAGCCGTTCTTGTTATCGTTCAATCGTTGGTCCGCACTCACTGCCTGCCAACATGCACTCGCCTTTTAAAAAGCTTGATTTTGTTCCCCAAACGTATTCTGTGACGACCCGCCCTACTCTGATTGGTAGGTTTCAGCACGAGGAGTGAGGTGGGGTGGGTCTTAATGGAATACGTGAGAGAGAGAAGTCATACCAAGTGGAACAGGACAGGTAGACCACGTGTTTTTCAGATGGAAAATGAGCCAAACGTGAAAGCGCAGCAGCATCTGGATGCACTTCAACCAAAACCCAGGCAGTGATAAAGCGCACCATTTGTAAAGGCAACATATCCTTTAAAGCAGGGTCAACAAATAATCTCCATCGCCACTTCAAAACACACTATCTAATATTAAGAGTTGCATGAATTTCATTCAAGGCAACTTTATTTACTTAACACATGCAGAGGGTAAATTCAAAGTACATTCACTGACATGATGACATGGATATGGCGCCACCTTGTGTCATGTTTACAATGCCGATTATTGACATTAGGTCTGGCAATGCAGTCAATCATTATCCTGGTGATTATTTCACAGATAAACCTAGTAACCCCGCCCCCTTTAAAAAAAACGGCTCTTTTGAACGGCTCTTTGAAAGGAACGGAGCCATAAGATCCGGCTCCCTTCAAAGAGCCATAATTCCCATCACTACTCTGCTGCTAGAAAGTGCGGTGCCGCACAGCGTTTGGAGGCAGGACCAAACCATTACATGTAAATAGAAGGGGGTGTACAGAGGCTTTGGATAATTAACTTTTGGAAGAAAAAAAGTGAAATGAATCGTAAGTTTAGCGAGTACATTATCGATGTAACGTTCTATTAATGTTAATTATTGATGATTGATGAAAGGTTACTTAAACATTTTTTCTTAATGTTCTAAAAATGTTTGGGGCCCCCGTCAGTTACGGGCCCTTAGAATCGTCCTACCTTTCACCCCCTTACGGCGCCCCTGATCTTATGCATCATTACACTAATTAGATAAGCCCCAAATATCTTGAAATACCCACTTCAGGTTCAGGAGTATATATGTATTTATTTATAAATGCAGATAAAATCCCAAAAGTGATTAAAACCCATGTGATTTAAATCAAAGTGAAAAAACAGCACTTTAATTTCTTGAAAAGGTTTTTATTACAGAATAAGAAAAGACAACGGGATAGATTCATCGTTCCTTCAGGCAGTATTTTGTGAAACAAACGTATGAAAATATATTCTAACAGGCACAGTACAGAAGGAAATCGTGGAGATATTTATATCATAAAAAACCTTAATTTTCTCCTCATTTATCAGATTTCTGGACTCTGACATGAAGAACATTGAAAAAGACCCACACTCAGTGTCCCGGAGTGCTCAGTTATTAATATGATGCATGATTGTCAACAAGCTTTTTACATTTCACTCTGTGGCCGCAGATCATCAAGCATGAACAAATACAACTGCTTTTCATTTGAGAAGTTTCACTGATTGTCTTTTTATAGAAAGAAACCAGTTCCTTCGGTACAACATTATATATTTCATTTTGTATTTCTGTGTCCTGAAATGTAAGGCCACACATTTATAAAAAGGATCCAAATAATGTCCATCTTTAAACATCTGGACATATCTCCCACACATGAAGGAAGTTATTAGATTGTAACTTCTAGTCCGCTTCACTTTTTGGGCATAAAAGTACAAATATTAGCAGAAAATCCTCTTCAAAATCAAAATTTAAAATGTGGCAAAACGTCATCATTTCCTTCATAAGACATTCAATTAAAAAAATACAAAGTGATTAAGACAGAAAACTGAGAGCGTGACGATCAGATGAAAAATATTGAAGAGTATAAAATCTTTACCAAATGCATCTCAGCTGTTAGGAATATATACTTCTGAAACAGCTTCTGGTACAGGTCTGAGTCTCAGGAGGAGCTGAGGAACATCTGCAGGTCTCAGGAGGAGCTGAGGAACATCTGCAGGTCTCAGGAGGAGCTGAGGAACATCTGCAGGTCTCAGGAGGAGCTGAGGAACATCTGCAGGTCTCAGGAGGAGCTGAGGAGAACTCACTGCTTCATTTCATTTTACAGACGCTAAGACACAAATCCACAAATTAAAGAAAAATAAAGCTTGTCTCACTGCTCCTGGGAGACCAGTGCAAGACCTGAATGGAAAGTATTAGAAGTATTCCTCATTTTATTATTAGCTGTTGCTCTGCTAGCTGCAGGCTGTTGCTCTGCTAGCTGTTGCTCTGCTAGCTGTTGCTCTGCTAGCTGCAGGCTGTTGCTCTGCTAGCTGTTGCTCTGCTAGCTGCAGGCTGTTGCTCTGCTAGCTGCAGGCTGTTGCTCTGCTGGCTGTTGCTCTGCTAGCTGCAGGCTGTTGCTCTGCTAGACGCTAACTGTTGCTCTCGTAGCTGCTAGCTGTTGCTCTGCTAGCTGCAGGCTGTTGCTCTGCTAGACGCTAACTGTTGCTCTCGTAGCTGCTAGCTGTTGCTCTGCTAGCTGCTAGCTGTTGCTCTGCTAGCTGCTAGCTGTTGCTCTGCTAGCTGCAGGCTGTTGCTCTGCTAGACGCTAACTGTTGCTCTCGTAGCTGCTAGCTGTTGCTCTGCTAGCTGTTGCTCTGCTAGCTGCAGGCTGTTGCTCTGCTAGACGCTAACTGTTGCTCTCGTAGCTGCTAACTGTTGCTCTGCTAGCTGTTGCTCTGCTAGCCGCTAGCTGTTGCTCTGCTAGCTGCAAACTGTTGCTCTCGTAGCTGCTAGCTGTTGCTCTGCTAGCTGTTGCTCTGCTAGCCGCTAGCTGTTGCTCTGCTAGCTGATAGCTGTTGCTCTGCTAGCCGCTAGCTGTTGCTCTGCTAGCTGATAGCTGTTGCTCTGCTAGCTGCAAACTGTTGCTCTGCTAGTTGTTGCTCTGCTAGTTGTTGCTCTGCTAGCTGTTGCTCTGCTAGCTGTTGCTCTGCTAGCTGATAGCTGTTGCTCTGCTAACTGCTAGGTGTTGCTCTGCTAGCTGCTGCTTGTGTCTTTTTGGGCTTTGAGGAAGTCAAATAATAATTTTGTGTTAAAATTATGATAAATGTTTTGATTTATAATTTCTTTAAAAACAACCACAATACATGCATATATTGATTTGATTGTTTAACATTTTGACTCAAAAGCAGAATATTTAGTGGTTCTGTTCTTCCTTTAAAAATATAGTTATTATAAAAACAGGAGAACATCTGCGTCTGTAGCTGCTGGTTTTAAAACTGTGACTTATTTGATTATTTAAAGGGTTATTATGTTCAGGACGTCAGGTCGGAGCCTCCTGTCATCTTATTCTATTTAACATGTTTAACTTCTCCTGCCTCGCCTGCACGTTTCTACTGTTTCTTCCTGCACTGCTTTCATTGTTGGTTTCATGTCTGATATATATTCATGTTGTGTTATCGGAGGCGCCTGGGACTTCAGATTCTCATTGTATATCTACACTGCACTGAAAAAACAAACTTCAATTGAATGTATCATTTCATCAAATTTCACATAACTGTATTAGGTTAGTTGGAAGCAATAATATTAAAGTTGAACCTGATATTTTGTATTTAAACTTAATATTATAGCTTTCTACTAACTTAATACATTCATAGTCTAGTTGCCAGCTTAGTGAACCCTGGAATGTTGAGTACCCCATGTTGTTAGAAATGTAACGTAGGGTCTCCAGCACATAGAAACTGCCGGATGCTAACCTGCATAATTTGGGCAATTAGCATAAGTTGGGTTGATTAGCATTAATTAGCAGTAGTATAGCCTATGTGGACAATAGTTAAAAAATTGCTGATTTGGGCAGTTGAGGAGTGGTTTTGGGGGTTATTGAGGAAGCTGAATCTATTTCGGAAAGCGGCATATCTGTACTCTCTGTGGGCTGATTACCATGTTGGACCATTGGATATAGAGAGCACAAGATGAACATTATTACCTCTACTGTGGACAATTATTTTCAGATAAATAAGCAATCTGTCCAATCCAGAGTTCCCTAAAGCTATCAAATCGTTCCAAAATTGGTCAAATCAGTAGTTGAGTGTACAAATATTGGCATTTTCCATTTAATAACTGCCATTTACGATCCTGATGGATAATTGATTCAGCGTCCTCAATAACCCCCAAAACCACAGCAAAACTGTCCAAATCAGCCATTTTTGAAATATTGTCCACATAGGCTATAATGCTGATTTACGCAATTATTGGCAATCCCTAAACCTTCAAAATCTATCAAAATCAGTCCACAGAGACTACAAATATAGGCATTTATGATCTTGAAAATGTCAGAAATGAACTCAGCATCCCCTAAATCACTCAGAAATTGTCCAAATCAGTTTTTTTAAACTATTGTCCCCATAGGCTATAATGCTAATTAACTCAACTTATGCTAATTGTGCAAATGTCCCAATATATGCAGGTCAGCATCCGGCAGTTTCTATGAGCTGGAGACCCTACTGTAAGTTTCTATCATAACACTTTGAGGTCCTGAACACCTCAGGGTTCACAGCAGGACTCCATGATGTGAAATCTGTTAACACATGTAATAAAAGTGAAGTCTCTTCAGTGTGTAGTTTCTGAGCCGATGAAGACTCTCATGTTAAAGGAATGGTGACTGACAGTAAAACACACAGAGACTTATTCTGGCGCGTTGAGTTTCTCCACCTCGGCCGGCGCAGCCACGCCTCCGTTACTCGTGTCCGGAGCGCTCATAGAGGGGAGGCCGCGAGTCTTGATGAAATATCCAACGTCTAAGAAAAACATCATCGTCGCCAGGAAACCAAACGCCTGCCAGAGGAGGAAGATATTCAATAAAAAAACATATACATATAAGCCTGAACATCCGAGAGAAAAGATCACCCTGACTAACGAGGAGAGAGGGAAAGAGGAGCTATAGAAAGGAAAGAGAATTTAGGGAAGGAGAGAAGGAGGTGAAGATGGGAACGATGAGGAAAGTGAAAGGTAGAGAAGGAAAGGAGAGGAGGTAAGGTTGGAAAGTAGGTAGTGAGGGGAGGAGACAGGGAGTGAGGATGGAAGGAAGGAGGTATAGAAGGAAAGGAGGAGGTGAAGATAGGAAGATGAGGAAAGTGAAAGGTAGAGAAGGAAAGGAGAGGAGGTAGGAAAGGGAAGAAGGAAGAAGGAAAGGATGAATGATTGGGATGCTTCTCACCACAGCAGTCATCTCCTCCTTGGAGCCCCCGTTGTCTGCAGCGAAGACGATGGAGGCGATGAGGAAGAGCAGACCCATGACAGCGGTGTACACAAAGTCCTGCACCACAGAAGAAGAACATCAAATTCACCTTTCTCTAAATGTCTGAATATCTCCATGGTTTGAGGTCATTATGGGACGGGCTTTGAGGTCGTTACGGGACGGGCTTTGAGGTCGTTACGGGACGGGCTTTGAGGTCGTTAGGGGACGGGCTTTGAGGTCGTTACGGGACGGGCTTTGAGGTCGTTACGGGACGGGCTTTGAGGTCGTTACGGGACGGGCTTTGAGGTCGTTACGGGACGGGCTCTGAGGTCGTTAGGGGACGGGCTTTGAGGTCGTTACGGGACGGGCTGTGAGGTCGTTACGGGACGGGCTTTGAGGTCGTTACGGGACGGGCTTTGAGGTCGTTACGGGACGGGCTTTGAGGTCGTTACGGGATGGGCTTTGAGGTCGTTACGGGATGGGCTTTGAGGTCGTTACGGGATGGGCTTTGAGGTCGTTACGGGACGGGCTGTGAGGTCGTTACGGGACGGGCTGTGAGGTCGTTACGGGACGGGCTTTGAGGTCATTATGGGATGGGCGACACGACGAGAAAAATATATCACGATTTTAATTAGAAGAAAAAAAAGGCAACATGTTTACAGTAAAAAAGTCTAAATTATATAGAAAGAAAAAAAGTGAAACGATCACCCTGACTAACGAGGAGAGAGGAAGAGAATAGGAGGTATAGAAGGAAAGGAGGATTTAGGGAAGGAAAGAAGGAGGTGAAGATGGGAACGATGAGGAAAGTGAAAGGTAGAGAAGGAAAGGAGAGGAGGTAGGTTGGAAAGTAGGTAGTAAGGGAGGAGACAGGGAGTGAGGAATGGAAGGAAAGAGGTATAGAAGGAAAGGAGGAGGTGAAGATGGAAAGGATGTGGTAGGAAGGGAAAAGATGAAGAACTAAAGGAGGAGGTAGGAAAGGAAAGAAGGAGATCAAGAAGGAAAGGATGGGAATATTTAGAGAAAAAAAGTTGGAATATTTAGAGAACAAATCTGAATATTACTTTAAAAAAAGTCGGAAAAGAGAAAAAAAAGTGGGACATTTTCCCATTTGCTATTTTAAGAAAATAATTCGGTAAAAAGTTTGAATATTTTGAGATGAAATAGTGTAAAAAAACGTCTTTCTTTGGAATATTTCAGGTAAAAACGGAATATGATGACTTGGATAGGAACATTTAAAAACATGGCTTATGGACCTCAGGGATAATGATAAGTAAACTGAATCTAAATGTGTCCTCGTGTATTTGAAGTTGGAAAACTATGACTGATACTGATGAAAACATTATATACACACACTGTATATAATAAATATATATATTTCCTAAAATGGTGGAAATATTTCTGTAGCAGCAGTGAAGCTCAGAGTCAGTCAGATTTACACAGACTGAGTTACAGAGATTCCAGCAGCTGGAATATTTAGGAATATTTCTCACCAGTTTGGGCCAGCAGCTGATTCCCACGCGGCCGTGCAGCGGCGTGGAGAGGAGGATGACGAGCAGCAGCGTGAAGAGGAAGGCCGTGCAGCTCACAAACTCAAAGAAATAAAGAGCGGAGCAACTGAGGCAGCTGGAAACCACCTCCTCCAGCACGAAGGCCACCAACGACAGCAGCTGGAACACAGCAAGATATTAATGTAACATCTGCATTAATAACAGCTGGAACACATCAAGATATTAACGTAACATCTGCATTAATAACAGCTGGAACACATCAATATATTAATGTAACATCTGCATTAATAACAGCTGGAACACATCAAGATATTAATGTAACATCTGCATTAATAACAGCTGGAACACATCAAGATATTAACGTAACATCTGCATTAATAACAGCTGGAACACATCAAGATATTAACGTAACATCTGCATTAATAACAGCTGGAACACATCAATATATTAACGTAACATCTGCATTAATAACAGCTGGAACACATCAAGATATTAACGTAACATCTGCATTAATAACAGCTGGAACACATCAATATATTAATGTAACATCTGCATTAATAACAGCTGGAACACATCAAGATATTAACGTAACATCTGCATTAATAACAGCTGGAACACATCAAGATATTAATGTAACATCTGCATTAATAACAGCTGGAACACATCAAGATATTAACGTAACATCTGCATTAATAACAGCTGGAACACATCAAGATATTAACGTAACATCTGCATTAATAACAGCTGGAACACATCAATATATTAATGTTAACATCTGCATTAATAACAGCTGGAACACATCAAGATATTATGTAACATCTGCATTAATAACAGCTGGAACACATCAAGATATTAACGTAACATCTGCATTAATAACAGCTGGAACACATCAAGATATTAACGTAACATCTGCATTAATAACAGCTGGAACACATCAAGATATTAACGTAACATCTGCATTAATAACAGCTGGAACACATCAAGATATTAATGTAACATCTGCATTAATAACAGCTGGAACACATCAATATATTAACGTAACATCTGCATTAATAACAGCCTGGAACACATCAAGATATTAACGTAACATCTGCATTAATAACAGCTTGGAACACATCAATATATTAATGTAACATCTGCATTAATAACAGCTGGAACACATCAAGATATTAATGTAACATCTGCATTAATAACAGCTGGAACACAGAGAGATATTAACGTAACATCTGCATTAATAACAGCTGGAACACATCAAGATATTAACGTAACATCTGCATTAATAACAGCTGGAACACATCAATATATTAATGTAACATCTGCATTAATAACAGCTGGAACACATCAAGATATTAATGTAACATCTGCATTAATAACAGCTGGAACACAGAGAGATATTAACGTAACATCTGCATTAATAACAGCTGGAACACATCAAGATATTAACGTAACATCTGCATTAATAACAGCTGGAACACATCAATATAATTAATGTACATCTTGCATTAATAACAGCTGGAACACATCAATATATTAACGTAACATCTGCATTAATAACAGCTGGAACACAGAGAGATATTAACGTAACATCTGCATTAATAACAGCTGGAACACAGAGAGATATTAATGTAACATCTGCATTAATAACAGCTGGAACACATCAAGATATTAATGTAACATCTGCATTAATAACAGCTGGAACACATCAATATATTAACATAACATCTGCATTAATAACAGCTGGAACACATCAATATATTAATGTAACATCTGCATTAATAACAGCTGGAACACATCAAGATATTAATGTAACATCTGCATTAATAACAGCTGGAACACATCAAGATATTAACATAACATCTGCATTAATAACAGCTGGAACACATCAAGATATTAATGTAACATCTGCATTAATAACAGCTGGAACACAGAGAGATATTAACGTAACATCTGCATTAATAACAGCTGGAACACATCAAGATATTAACGTAACATCTGCATTAATAACATCTGGAACACATCAATATATTAATGTAACATCTGCATTAATAACAGCTGGAACACATCAATATATTAATGTAACATCTGCATTAATAACAGCTGGAACACATCAAGATATTAATGTAACATCTGCATTAATAACAGCTGGAACACATCAATATATTACGTAACATCTGCATTAATAAACAGCTGGAACACAGAGAGATTTAACGTAACATCTGCATTAAATAACAGCTGGAACACAGTCAAGATATTAACGTAACATCTGGCATTAATAACATCTGGAACCATCAAGATATTAATGTAACATCTGCATTAGATAACAGCTGGAACACATCAAGATATTAACGTAACATCTGCATTAATAACATCTGGAACACATCATATATTAAGGTAACATCTGCATTAATAACAGCTGGAACACATCAAGATATTAATGTAACATCTGCATTAATAACAGCTGGAACACATCAATATATTAACGCTAACATCTGCATTAATAACAGCTGGAACACATCAAGAGATTAACGTAACATCTGCATTATAACAGCTGGAAGACATCAATATATTAACGTAACATCTGCATTAATAACAGCTGGAACACATCAATATATTAACGTAACCTCCTCCTCCAGCAGGATGGACAGAAGCTGAAACAAATCTAAATATATGTGTATCTAAACACACACACTTTGGGCGCGCCTGCACCACAATGAGTCAACAGGAAGAGAACCCCCCCCCCCCCCCCCCCCCCCCCCCCCAACAGTAACTAACCGACTCACAGACTTTAAACCCTTTTCAGCGTCTGGTCAGGAAACATTCAGCAGATGAAGCTCGCCTCTCAAAGTGCCAGAGAACTCAAACTAGTCGCTAAACAAAGGCTAAAAAGTCACAAGCTGCATCCTTAATGTGACAGAGCTTCATGTTGAGGAATATCAAAGCAGTTTCCCTCTCTGCTGGATATGTGTTTATATTCTGCTCAGTGAACGTCGGCTTGTTTCCTTCAAACCCACGCAGAGCAGCCGCTGGATCCGTGGAGAAAAGCTTCATGAATCATCTCCAAATATTAAGATACAAATAAGGTTAAAACTGAGGCTTTTTATGTTGAATTAAAGTGATTATCTGGACATCTGATGAATGACGTTGGACTATGAGAAACTGGAATTGTTCACATATTTAAAAAAGATTAAATATTCTACAAACTTTTCAGATATATTTATGCTTTCAGGTTGTTCTCGTACTTTGTGGATATTTTACACATTACATGACATGTTAGACGCTTTTATCCAAAGCCACTTACATAGAGAGGCGAAGTCCCTTCCTTTCCGGGACCTTATTTCAGAAAAAGTATGTATTGAAGTCAATGGGGAGAGAAAGATGATCTTTGGATCCCGTTTGAATTGTGCCATGAATTACACATATGATGTTTGATGATCTTAAATAATCATTTCCATGTCAAAAAAGTCACAGTTTGTCGTAAAACTGTTGAAATATAAGACTATGAAAAATACGCAACTAGAAAGACTACAAATCCCAGAGTCCCGGTCCCGCATGCTGGCTCTTAGGAACCGACTCACTCCCCTTGTGTGTATGCACAGCTCTCAACATGCCCAGACTTGGAGTGATTTTCACCTCTTTTTAATACTTTTCGCCTCATTTGATTGATTGATTGATTGATTGATTGAAAAGTTTATTAACAGCTTGTATATTGGGGTACAGTACAGTACAGCTCAAAACATACAATTGTTAAGGGGATGCAGACCAGAGAAAGACTTTCGTCTTGTTTACATCAGGGTCCCCCATTTCCAATTCATCATAAAGATTCTGAAAGAAAGAAGTGAGATGTGCCAACGTGACGGCCGTCTTGGTGTGTGGTGCGAGACGGGAGATGTAGGTCATTGAGCGCTTTCACACAAAAAAAGTGTTACTTCACAGTTTTAACGACACATTTGTATTTTGACTTGCAAAATTATCTTTAAATTGACAAACATCATATGTGTAATTCGCCATTGACTTCAATACATACTTTTTCTGAAATAAGGTCCCATGAGGGTCCACCGGAAGGGAGGGACTTAACCTCTCTATACACACAAGGGGAGTTAGTCGGTTCCTAAGAGCCAGCATGCGGGACCGGGACTCTGGGATTTGTAGTCTTTCTAGTTGCGTATTTTTCATAGTCTTATATTTCAACAGTTTTACGACAAACTGTGACTTTTTTGACATGGAAAATTATTTTTTTAAGATGACAAACATCATATGTGTAATTCATGGCACAATTCAAACGGACAGAAAGATAATCGTTCTCTCTCCCATTGACTTTAATACATTATTTTCCGAAATAAGGTCCCATGGGGCGGAAGTAGAAGGGCGGGACTTCGCCTCTCTATACTCAATACTGTGGACAATCCCCACGGAGCAGTTTTGGGGTGAAGCGTCTCAGGGACACAACGACATGCTGACTGCAGTGGGGTTTAACCGGTGCTCCCCTGACCAACAACCAGCGCACCAGGCCACTGCGTCACAGCCTCCACATATTTTTTCAATCATTTTCACATACATTTCATTTTTTGATTGCACTTATTCTTTGGAAATATCTTTACAACCCCGTTTATTTTTGGGAGCATTTTTTACTTTTCTGACATTTTAATCACTTTGCGGAGATTGTTCACATCATTTTTAGAATCGTTTTTGAAAAAAAGTCAACATATTTTTTGAATATTTTACACATACAATAATTTTGTGGAAATTGTTCAATAAAAATCCCAAATATTTGACAAATTTCTTTGCATATTTTTTTCATGTTAAATATAAATGTAAATGTTTATACATAAATATTTTTATATTTTTTAAGATGATTTTCAACTGTTTTAAAATATTTTTCAGATGTTTTTCACATATTTTTCGTATAAACCTTTCAGACATATTTGAAATACTTCCAGGTTGTCTTCCTCATACTTTTTGGATATTTCTCAGAAGTTTCCAACATAATTTGAAATAATTTTCAAATTTGTAATGATATTTTTCAAGATAATTTTCACATATTTTGCAGGAAATGCTGAAAAAGGTGAGACAGGACTTGTCCTAGCAGCAGATTACTTTCACAGAGTGGTATCAGATACTCCTCCCGCAGTAATCAGATTACTCGTCCTCAGAGAGCTGCTGAACTTTGATCACAGATGAAGTTTGACGACCAAGATTTTTTCCTCCGACTCACCGCAACATCCTCTTTCGGTCGACACTCAGAACCACAAGCCGCCTGCCGGACACTGAACACCCCCCCCCCACACACACACACACACACACACACCGGACACTGAACCCCCCACACACACACACACACACACCGGACACTGAGCCCCACACACACACACACACACACACAGTCACACCGGACACTGAGCCCCACACACACACACACACACAGTCACACCGGACACTGAGCCCCACACACACACACACACACAGTCACACCGGACACTGAGCCCCACACACACACACACACACACCACAACACCCCTCTCTGATGAAACAGGAGGGTCAGCAGATGTGTGCCAACTGTAGTTCTGGAGAACTTTCACTTCCTGTTCTGCAGCTTCCTGTTACTGAGGGGTCACTCTCTAAAAAGGTGGGATTCATCCACCGCTGGAAATAGTCCCCAGTACTTTTTCACATATGTTTCGGATATTTTCAACATTATTTTTAAAATTATTTTTCACATATTTTAATGGCATCTCTACAAACGTACCTTCCTTTATAAACCACTCGCACGTTTTGCACATATTTTCCTGACAAGGCGGATACAGTACATACTGATATACACCTGAACATCAGCAGGAGAGGACTCTTTAAAGTAGAGACACTACATACTGATATACACCTGAACATCAGCAGGAGAGGACTCTTTAAAGTAGAGACGCTACATACTGATATACACCTGAACATCAGCAGGAGAGGACTCTTTAAAGTAGAGACACTACATACTGATATACACCTGAACATCATCAGGAGAGGACTCTTTAAAGTAGAGACACTACATACTGATATACACCTGAACATCAGCAGGAGAGGACTCTTTAAAGTAGAGACACTACATACTGATATACACCTGAACATCAGCAGGAGAGGACTCTTTAAAGTAGAGACGCTACATACTGATATACACCTGAATATCAGCAGGAGAGGACTCTTTAAAGTAGAGACACTACATACTGATATACACCTGAACATCAGCAGGAGAGGACTCTTTAAAGTAGAGACACTACATACTGATAAACACTTGAACATCAGCAGGAGAGGACTCTTTAAAGTAGAGACACTACATACTGATATACACCTGAACATCAGCAGGAGAGGACTCTTTAAAGTAGAGACACTACATACTGATAAACACCTGAACATCAGCAGGAGAGGACTCTTTAAAGTAGAGACACTACATACTGATATACACCTGAACATCAGCAGGAGAGGACTCTTTAAAGTAGAGACACTACATACTGATATACACCTGAACATCAGCAGGAGAGGACTCTTTAAAAGTAGAGACACTACATACTGATATACAACCTGAACATCAGCAGGAGAGGACTCTTTAAAGTAGAGACGCTACATACTGATATACACCTGAACATCAGCAGGAGAGGACTCTTTAAAGTAGAGACACTACATACTGATAAACACTTGAACATCAGCAGGAGAGGACTCTTTAAAGTAGAGACACTACATACTGATATACACCTGAACATCAGCAGGAGAGGACTCTTTAAAGTAGAGACACTACATACTGATAAACACTTGAACATCAGCAGGAGAGGACTCTTTAAAGTAGAGACACTACATACTGATATACAACCTGAACATCAGCAGGAGAGGACTCTTTAAAGTAGAGACACTACATACTGATATACACCTGAACATCAGCAGGAGAGGACTCTTTAAAGTAGAGACGCTACATACTGATATACACCTGAACATCAGCAGGAGAGGACTCTTTAAAGTAGAGACACTACATACTGATATACACCTGAACATCATCAGGAGAGGACTCTTTAAAGTAGAGACACTACATACTGATATACACCTGAACATCAGCAGGAGAGGACTCTTTAAAGTAGAGACACTACATACTGATATACACCTGAACATCAGCAGGAGAGGACTCTTTAAAGTAGAGACACTACATACTGATATACACCTGAATATCAGCAGGAGAGGACTCTTTAAAGTAGAGACACTACATACTGATATACACCTGAACATCAGCAGGAGAGAACTCTTTAAAGTAGAGACACTACATACTGATATACACCTGAACATCAGCAGGAGAGGACTCTTTAAAGTAGAGACACTACATACTGATATACACCTGAACATCAGCAGGAGAGGACTCTTTAAAGTAGAGACACTCCATACTGATATACACCTGAACATCAGCAGGAGAGGACTCTTTAAAGTAGAGACACTACATACTGATATACACCAGAACATCAGCAGGAGAGGACTCTTTAAAGTAGAGACACTACATACTGATATACACCTGAACATCAGCAGGAGAGGACTCTTTAAAGTAGAGACACTACATACTGATATACACCTGAAGATCAGCAGGAGAGGACTCTTTAAAGTAGAGACACTACATACTGATATACACCTGAAGATCAGCAGGAGGACTCTTTAAAGTAGAGACACTACATACTGATATACACCTGAACATCAGCAGGAGAGGACTCTTTAAAGTAGAGACACTACATACTGATATACACCTGAACATCAGCAGGAGAGGACTCTTTAAAGTAGAGACACTACATACTGATATACACCTGAACATCAGCAGGAGAGGACTCTTTAAAGTAGAGACACTACATACTGATATACACCTGAACATCAGCAGGAGAGGACTCTTTAAAGTAGAGACACTACATACTGATATACACCTGAACATCAACAGGAGAGGACTCTTAAAAAGTAGAGACACTACATACTGATATACACCTGAACATCAGCAGGAGAGGACTCTTTAAAGTAGAGACACTACATACTGATATACACCTGAACATCAGCAGGAGAGGACTCTTTAAAGTAGAGACACTACATACTGATATACACCTGAACACTCAGCAGGAGAGGACTCTTTAAAGTAGAGACACTACATACTGATATACACATGAACATCAGCAGGAGAGGACTCTTTAAAGTAGAGACACTACATACTGAGATACACATGAACATCAGCAGGAGAGGACTCTTTAAAGTAGAGACACTACGTACTGATATACACCTGAACATCAGCAGGAGAGGACTCTTTAAAGTAGAGACACTACATACTGATATACACCTGAACATCAGCAGGAGAGGACTCTTTAAAGTAGAGACACTACATACTGAGATACACCTGAACATCAGCAGGAGAGGACTCTTTAAAGTAGAGACACTACATACTGATATACACCTGAACATCAGGAGGAGAGGACTCTTTAAGTAGAGACAACTACATACTGATATACACCTGAACATCAGCAGGAGAGGACTCTTTAAAGTAGAGACACTACATACTGATATACAACCTGAACATCAGCAGGAGAGGACTCTTTAAAGTAGAGACACTACACACTGATATACACCTGAACATCAGCATGAGAGGACTCTTTAAAGTAGAGACACTACATACTGATATACACCTGAACATCAGGAGGAGAGGACTCTTTAAAGTAGAGACACTACATACTGATATACACCTGAACATCAGCAGGAGAGGACTCTTAAAGTAGAGACACTACATACTGATATACACCTGAACATCAGCAGGAGAGGACTCTTTAAAGTAGAGACACTACATACTGATATACACCTGAACATCAGCAGGAGAGGACTCTTTAAAGTAGAGACACTACATACTGATATACACCTGAACATCAGCAGGAGAGGACTCTTTAAAGTAGAGACACTAGTGTGTGTTTAGTGTAAACCAGGAGGATCTGTGTGTTGAAAACACTGAACATGATGGTACCTGACATTAACAAACACACACACACACACACACACTTATATTCTGACAGGACCATGCATGGTCAGAATTAAGGTCTGTTGTTGATGTAGCATTTGGAAGAAATAAGGGGGTCTTTGAACTCACCACTTGCAGGACTTTGAGAGCGAAGCGGACTCTGTCCAGGTTGTCTGAGGGGACGCTGAAGCAGGAGGACTTGGGGTTTGGGGCCGTGGTGGGGGAGTAAACCTCCGTCATGATGGATCTGAGGACACCAGAGAGGGAACAAGTACACACATCCTTTACTCAAGTAGAGGTACAGATACTCGTGTTTAAACATACTCTGGTAAAAGTAGAAGTACTGACTAAACTTCTTTACTCAAGTTAAAGTAAAGAGGGCTTTGAAATGTACTAAAGTAAAAAGTACCCATAACTAGCAGCTGTTTTAAAGAGTACCTGACCTCCCTTTATATGAATATTACAATAATGTCATTTACTCAAGTACAAGATCTGAGTACTTCCACTGATATTAAAGTACACGATCTGAGTACTTCTACTCTTACTCAAGTACAAGATCTGAGTACTTCCACTGTTACTCAAGTACAAGATCTGAGTACTTCTACTTTTACTCAAGTACAAGATCTGAGTACTTCTACTGTTACTCTAGTACAATATCTGAGTACTTCTACTTTTACTCAAGTACAACATCTGAGTACTTCTACTTTTACTCAAGTAGAAGATCTGAGTACTTCTACTTTTACTGTAACAGAGTATTACTACACTCTTTTTCCTAGTACACAGATCGTGTACTTGAGTAACAGTGGAAGTACTCAGATCGTGTACTTCAGCAACAGTGGAATTACTCAGATGGTGTACTTGAGTAACAGTAGTACTTCAGTAACAGTGGAAGTACTCAGATATTGTACTTCAGTAACAGTGGAAGTACTCAGATCGTGTACTTTAGTATCAGTGGAAGTACTCAGATCGTGTACTTGAGTAACAGTAGTACTTCAGTAACAGTAGAAGTACTCAGATATTGTACTTCAGTAACAGTGGAAGTACTCAGATCGTGTACTTTAGTATCAGTGGAAATACTCAGATCGTGTACTTGAGTAACAGTAGTACTTCAGTAACAGTGGAAGTACTCAGATCGTGTACTTTAGTATCAGTGGAAATACTCAGATCGTGTACTTGAGTAACAGTAGTACTTCAGTAACAGTGGAAGTACTCAGATCGTGTACTTTAGTATCAGTGGAAATACTCAGATCGTGTACTTGAGTAACAGTAGTACTTCAGTAACAGTGGAAGTACTCAGATCGTGTACTTGTATCTGAAAGGGAATCCCACGCGCAGACTCGTTAAAGTGTTGCGTTCAGGGACCTGTTCTGAGACTCAGATGGAGAACTTGTTGTGGTATTGTTCTAAAAAGTGTTCCTCTGAAGTTCTGCTCTTTAGAGACACGATGTCTAACATGACATTGAGAGATGTAACGCACTCTGGATCAGGAAGTAGAGTTTAATCCTGATTCTAATTGTAATGTTAGCCTCAAATCTGCTCAACTCAAACAGGAAGTTTTAGAAACCGGAAGAAGGTAAACACGCGTGTTTCAGGTATGAACTCACCTTTCAGCTGTCAGGGGGAGAACGTTTCCAGCTGGGAGAATAACAAAGTTCAACTTGTTGCTTTGTTTCTGCTGCGCGACTGACTCCTGACACACTTCCGCATTCACTGTATTCTGTGAAGCCACATGGAAGAAGAAGAAGAGCGGCTTCCGGTCCAACCCTGTCAGAATAAAGTACTTTTCAATGTAAGGTGAGATCCACTGACCCCTCGTCCCAGCAGCAGAGATCAGACATCGCACCTGCATCAGAGGTACAATACAACACATTACAGGGGTACACATCAGCAGCAGAAGGTACACACAATACACAACACAGTGAACACTAATCAATAAAGAAGGGTATTCATCTATAGAGTATACTGGATATTGAATACACAATACAAATATACAGAATCAAAGTACATTATGCTTGTTCAGCCTATCAAAACTCACAAAATGTAAACATTGAATACAAAATACACTTTACAATTAGTTAGAGAAGTACTCAGATCATGTACTAGAGTAACAGTAGAAGTACTCAGATCATGTACTAGAGTAACAGTAGAAGTACTCAGATCTTGTACTTGAGTAAAAGTAGAAGTACTCAGATATTGTACTAGAGTAACAGTAGAAGTACTCAGATCTTGTACTTGAGTAAAAGTAGAAGTACTCAGATCTTGTACTTCAGTAAATGTAGAAGTACTCAGATCTTGTACTTGAGTAAAAGTAGAAGTACTCAGATCTTGTACTTCAGTAAATGTAGAAGTACTCAGATCTTGTACTTGAGTAAAAGTAGAAGTACCAGAGTGTAGGAATACTCTGTTACAGTAAAAGTCCTGCATTCAAAATGTTCCTCAAGTAAAAGTAGAAAAGTATTCTCATCATCATTAATCTGTAAAGTAACTAAAGGTATGAAATACATGTAGTGGAGTAAAAGTACATAGTAGCACAACATGGTACCTCAAGAGAGTACTTAAGTACAGTACTTGAGTAAATGTACTAAGTCACTCCCCCCCCTCTGGAAAACATATTCTTTAAAGGTCTCCTAATATTTGTATCATTATTATAGTTAATGTATTTATTGAACAACTCATGGATCCCCTTTTATTCTGAAATGCAACAGGTTGGCTTCCTGTCTGATGTTATTGAACGTCACTTCAGAGTCCCTGAACGCATCACACGCCTTAAAACAGCGATGTTTGGAAAATGTGAAACCTGTGTTTTCTATTCAGGTGCGTTCAGGTGCTGCAGTAAATAATAAGAATACATTCAAAGAAGCATTGACACACAAGAAATACATGTTGGTACAAAACAGTTTTAATGTTACTGTATGTTTGTATCTGTTTGTCTCATATATAATATCATCTGTATTATTAGAGTATTCTATAAATACTTTCTCCATTTCAGATTCATACTTTATTTATCCTTAGTTTGGATTCTGTGACAGCTGCTAACTCTTCCTCTCTCCTCTTCCTCTCTCAGCTGCTAACTCTTCCTCTCTCCTCTTCCTCTCTCAGCTGCTAACTCTTCCTCTCTCCTCTTCCTCTCTCAGCTGCTAAATCTTTAGAATAAAATACAAATAAAATAAAAATATACGATTATATTTCTACAAAAAGAAATATAGTAATAATAATAATAATAAATAATAATAATAATAATAATAATAATAATATAATAATAATAATAATAATAATAATAATAATAATAATAATAATAATAATAATAATAATAATAATAATACAAATAAAAAATGATTGTTATTTGTATTATTATTAAAATCATTAAAATCTTTAATACGGATTTTTAAAATTATGAATTTTATTGTTATTATTATTCTTAATAATAAACATTGGTATTTCCCAAATAAACCCACATGTGCACGTTTGGTTGTCCTGCAGGAGGTGCTGCAGCTTCTCTCCTCTTCCTCTCTCCTCTTCCTCCCTCCTCCTCCTCCTCTTCCTCCCCCCCCCCCCCCCCCCCCCCCCCCCCCCCCCCGCTGTGAGAGGCTTCCCCGGTATAACGCTGTTGGAGGAGCTGGCGGCTGTAAAGGCTCTCCAGCAGCCGGAGGAGGAGGACGAAGAGGAGGAGGAAGATGAGTGTGACTCTCAGCTGAAACTCAAACTTTGTCTCCTCCCTGCGAGCGGCTGCTTCATGCGTCTCTGAGAAGGTAAGCACACTTTTATTCACAATCATCTTGCAATCCACTTATTTATCTAAATACTTATCACCGCAACAAACCCTATTTAATTTAGACTTAATGTACGTTATTTAATTTCATATTCTGTTCTTGTCCATATCATATTCTGTTCACATATAGACTATTTGCACTATTTGTATTCTTGTATGGTATTATATATGTTGCTTTGCTGGAGGAGCTCAGCTCAGGAGAATTTCATTACCATTCACCGAAGCTTTGAGCAGATGATAACACCTCTGGATCTGTTTGACTGATATCTGCATCCTCCTGCGCGGCTGCTCCAATCTCTCAGAATCAGTGATATTTCATTCATCAGTAAATACTGTGAGGAGACACAGATCCTCTTTGTGGAGTGAGTGTGATATCTGATCTATTTCCTCTCAGTCAGCGGTGCACCTTTAAACAAATACAGAATGGATTTATTTATTTTAAAATTACTCAGATTTGTGTGATTTGTGATTTTGTTGGAGACATGAAGGTCGGAGAATCTGGTTTATGTTGTGAGCTGATGCAGAGCTATGTGACACGATAAGGAAACCTCATTCCTCCATGCAGGACTACACGGGTCAGCTGGTGTGGCTGCATGTTGACTTGGAGGATATTACAATCACGAAAATCTGATATATCTGTTGATATTTCTCAGGTTGTCCCAAAAGTCTTAGAGCTTCGGATCAGGTGTATATCAGTATGTAGTGTCTCTACTTTAAAGAGTCCTCTCCTGCTGATGTTCAGGTGTATATCAGTATGTAGTGTCTCTACTTTAAAGAGTCCTCTCCTGCTGATGTTCAGGTGTATATCAGTATGTAGTGTCTCTACTTTAAAGAGTCCTCTCCTGCTGATGTTCAGGTGTATATCAGTATGTAGTGTCTCTACTTTAAAGAGTCCTCTCCTGCTGATGTTCAGGTGTATATCAGTATGTAGTGTCTCTACTTTAAAGAGTGCTCTGCTGATGATGTTCAGGTGTATATCAGTATGTAGTGTCTCTACTTTAAAGAGTCCTCTCCTGATGATGTTCAGGTGTATATCAGTATGTAGTGTCTCTACTTTAAAGAGTCCTCTCCTGCTGATGTTCAGGTGTATATCAGTATGTAGTGTCTCTACTTTAAAGAGTCCTCTCCTGCTGATGTTCAGGTGTATATCAGTATGTAGTGTCTCTACTTTAAAGAGTCCTCTCCTGCTGATGTTCAGGTGTATATCAGTATGTAGTGTCTCTACTTTAAAGAGTCCTCTCCTGCTGATGTTCAGGTGTATATCAGTATGTAGTGTCTCTACTTTAAAGAGTCCTCTCCTGCTGATGTTCAGGTGTATATCAGTATGTCGTGTCTCTACTTTAAAGAGTCCTCTCCTGCTGATGTTCAGGTGTATATCAGTATGTAGTGTCTCTACTTTAAAGAGTCCTCTCCTGCTGATGTTCAGTGTATATCAGTATGTAGTGTCTCTACTTTAAAGAGTCCTCTCCTGCTGATGTTCAGGTGTATATCAGTATGTAGTGTCTCTACTTTAAAGAGTCCTCTCCTGCTGATGTTCAGGTGTATATCAGTATGTAGTGTCTCTACTTTAAAGAGTCCTCTCCTGCTGATGTTCAGGTGTATATCAGTATGTAGTGTCTCTACTTTAAAGAGTGCTCTGCTGATGATGTTCAGGTGTATATCAGTATGTAGTGTCCTCTACTTTAAAGAGTCCTCTCCTGATGATGTTCAGGTGTATATCAGTATGTAGTGTTCTCTACTTTAAAGAGTCCTCTCCTGCTGATGTTCAGGTGTATATCAGTATGTAGTGTCTCTACTTTAAAGAGTCCTCTCCTGCTGATGTTCAGGTGTATATCAGTATGTAGTGTCTCTACTTTAAAGAGTCCTCTCCTGCTGATGTTCAGGTGTATATCAGTATGTAGTGTCTCTACTTTAAAGAGTCCTCTCCTGCTGATGTTCAGGTGTATATCAGTATGTAGTGTCTCTACTTTAAAGAGTCCTCTCCTGCTGATGTTCAGGTGTATATCAGTATGTCGTGTCTCTACTTTAAAGAGTCCTCTCCTGCTGATGTTCAGGTGTATATCAGTATGTAGTGTCTCTACTTTAAAGAGTCCTCTCCTGCTGATGTTCAGGTGTATATCAGTAATGTCGTGTCTCTACTTTAAAGAGTCCTCTCCTGCTGATGTTCAGGTGTATATCAGTATGTAGTGTCTCTACTTTAAAGAGTCCTCTCCTGCTGATGTTCAGGTGTATATCAGTATGTAGTGTCTCTACTTTAAAGAGTCCTCTCCTGCTGATGTTCAGGTGTATATCAGTATGTAGTGTCTCTACTTTAAAGAGTCCTCTCCTGCTGATGTTCAGGTGTATATCAGTATGTAGTGTCTCTACTTTAAAGAGTCCTCTCCTGCTGATGTTCAGGTGTATATCAGTATGTAGTGTCTCTACTTTAAAGAGTCCTCTCCTGCTGATGTTCAGGTGTATATCAGTATGTAGTGTCTCTACTTTAAAGAGTCCTCTCCTGCTGATGCTCAGGTGTATATCAGTATGTAGTGTCTCTACTTTAAAGAGTCCTCTCCTGCTGATGTTCAGGTGTATATCAGTATGTAGTGTCTCTACTTTAAAAAGTCCTCTCCTGCTGATGTTCAGGTGTATATCAGTATGTAGTGTCTCTACTTTAAAGAGTCCTCTCCTGCTGATGCTCAGGTGTATATCAGTATGTAGTGTCTCTACTTTAAACAGTCCTCTCCTGCTGATGTTCAGGTGTATATCAGTATGTAGTGTCTCTACTTTAAAGAGTCCTCTCCTGCTGATGTTCAGGTGTATATCAGTATGTAGTGTCTCTACTTTAAAGAGTCCTCTCCTGCTGATGTTCAGGTGTATATCAGTATGTAGTGTCTCTACTTTAAAAAGTTCTCTCCTGCTGATGTTCAGGTGTATATCAGTATGTAGTGTCTCTACTTTAAAGAGTCCTCTCCTGCTGATGTTCAGGTGTATATCAGTATGTAGTGTCTCTACTTTAAAGAGTCCTCTCCTGCTGATGTTCAGGTGTATATCAGTATGTAGTGTCTCTACTTTAAAGAGTCCTCTCCTGCTGATGTTCAGGTGTATATCAGTATGTAGAGTCTCTACTTTAAAGAGTCCTCTCCTGCTGATGTTCAGGTGTATATCAGTATGCAGTGTCTCTACTTTAAAGAGTCCTCTCCTGCTGATGTTCAGGTGTATATCAGTATGTAGTGTCTCTACTTTAAAGAGTCCTCTCCTGCTGATGTTCAGGTGTATATCAGTATGTAGTGTCTCTACTTTAAAGAGTCCTCTCCTGCTGATGTTCAGGTGTATATCAGTATGTAGTGTCTCTACTTTAAAGAGTCCTCTCCTGCTGATGTTCAGGTGTATATCAGTATGTGGTGTCTCTACTTTAAAGAGTCCTCTCCTGCTGATGTTCAGGTGTATATCAGTATGTAGTGTCTCTACTTTAAAGAGTTCTCTCCTGCTGATGTTCAGGTGTATATCAGTATGTAGTGTCTCTACTTTAAAGAGTCCTCTCCTGCTGATGTTCAGGTGTATATCAGTATGTAGTGTCTCTACTTTAAAGAGTCCTCTCCTGCTGATGTTCAGGTGTATATCAGTATGTAGTGTCTCTACTTTAAAGAGTCCTCTCCTGCTGATGTTCAGGTGTATATCAGTATGTAGTGTCTCTACTTTAAAAAGTCCTCTCCTGCTGATGTTCAGGTGTATATCAGTATGTAGTGTCTCTACTTTAAAGAGTCCTCTCCTGCTGATGTTCAGGTGTATATCAGTATGTAGTGTCTCTACTTTAAAGAGTCCTCTCCTGCTGATGTTCAGGTGTATATCAGTATGTAGTGTCTCTACTTTAAAGAGTCCTCTCCTGCTGATGTTCAGGTGTATATCAGTATGTAGAGTCTCTACTTTAAAGAGTCCTCTCCTGCTGATGTTCAGGTGTATATCAGTATGTAGTGTCCTCTACTTTAAAGAGTCCTCTCCTGCTGATGTTCAGGTGTATATCAGTATGTAGTGTCTCTACTTTAAAGAGTCCTCTCCTGCTGATGTTCAGGTGTATATCAGTATGTGGTGTCTCTACTTAAAGAGTCCTCTCCTGCTGATGTTCAGGTGTATATCAGTATGTAGTGTCTCTACTTTAAAGAGTTCTCTCCTGCTGATGTTCAGGTGTATATCAGTATGTAGTGTCTCTACTTTAAAGAGTCCTCTCCTGCTGATGTTCAGGTGTATATCAGTATGTAGTGTCTCTACTTTAAAGAGTCCTCTCCTGCTGATGTTCAGGTGTATATCAGTATGTAGTGTCTCTACTTTAAAGAGTCCTCTCCTGCTGATGTTCAGGTGTATATCAGTATGTAGTGTCTCTACTTTAAAAAGTCCTCTCCTGCTGATGTTCAGGTGTATATCAGTATGTAGTGTCTCTACTTTAAAGAGTCCTCTCCTGCTGATGTTCAGGTGTATATCAGTATGTAGTGTCTCTACTTTAAAAGAGTCCTCTCCTGCTGATGTTCAGGGTGTATATCAGTATGTAGTGTCTCTACTTTAAAGAGTCCTCTCCTGCTGATGTTCAGGTGTATATCAGTATGTAGAGTCCTCTACTTTAAAGAGTCCTCTCCTGCTGATGTTCAGGTGTATATCAGTATGTAGTGTCTCTACTTTAAAGAGTCCTCTCCTGCTGATGTTCAGGTGTATATCAGTATGTAGTGTCTCTACTTTAAAGAGTCCTCTCCTGCTGATGTTCAGGTGTATATCAGTATGTGGTGTCTCTACTTTAAATAGTCCTCTCCTGCTGATGTTCAGGTGTATATCAGTATGTAGTGTCTCTACTTTAAAGAGTCCTCTCCGGCTGATGTTCAGGTGTATATCAGTATGTAGTGTCTCTACTTAAAGAGTCCTCCTCCGGCTGATGTTCAGAGTGTATATCAGTATGTAGTGTCTCTACTTTAAAGAGTCCTCTCCTGCTGATGTTCAGGTGTATATCAGTATGTAGTGTCTCTACTTTAAAGAGTCCTCTCCGGCTGATGTTCAGGTGTATATCAGTATGTAGTGTCTCTACTTTAAAGAGTCCTCTCCTGCTTGATGTTTTGAACACATCTTCCTCTATGAAGGGACGTCATCGTCAGTTCCAGATTTATTTTTAGATGAGATTCATTCAACTCATTTAAAATAACTCTGGTAGTTGACAGTTATTTTTACAGCAGGTGATAATAACCGCGTTCACACCAAGTACTTTGCCGTACTCAGTGCTGGCACTTATGACCCCAGGGCACTTAGTACAGATCGCGTTCACACTGGAATAAGTTCCCTGAGGGAAGATTATGCAAATGAGCCGCTGACGTCACTTCTTCTTCTTCTGCTTTGGGTTTACTGGCAGGCCGCAAACCACTTCACGGCGTATACTGCCACCCGGAGTCCCCGGCCGGAAGTCCCCGGAGTTGGGGAAGGCTTCAGTAGAAGCTGCTGGGACTCCCAGCAGCTTCTACTGAAGCCTTCAGAGTAAATCGCCAGAACGCCGACACCTCCTCATCTCCACCGCTCCCATGTTTTATTTTGTGTTGCCATAAGTTAGTCTCTCTGCGTTTGTGCGCTGGGCGAATGCTAATGCTAATAATGCTAATGCCAGGATAATAAAATGGCGGCTCTACAAAACATTTCAGAGTTGTACGGGGCGTGGTTTGCAATTCGCCCAGCCAACCAGAACTGGGGCACTTTTTTCCCCCAGGAAAGTACGATCTCTCAGCAGGCACTAAACATGGGGGTAAAAGTTCCCGAGATGAAGTGCTCTTTTTGGTGTGAATGCGACATCAGGGGTACTAACAGAACTAAACGCAAAAAGTACGGTGAAAAGTACTCCAGTGTGAACGCGGCTAATGAGAGTCACAGTTACTCATCAAACAGCTGATCATGATGTTGCTGTCTCTAAAGCAACAGCTGCTGAGGATCATGGGTAATGTAGTTTTTAGAGCCGGTGAAAGACTAAACGAGGGGAAAAAATTATTTGAACTTTATTTTTAACCAATGCAATTAAAATCTCTTAAGGGTTCGACCGTGGTCTCCCAGCTGTGTGCGTCACTCTTTAGTGTCCCCTGGTCTCCAGCTGTGTGCGTCACTCTTTAGTGTCCCCTGGTCTCCCAGCTGTGTGCGTCACTCTTTAGTGTCCCCTGGTCTCCAGCTGTGTGCGTCACTCTTTAGTGTCCCCTGGTCTCTCAGCTGTGTGTGTCACTCTTAGTGTCCCCTGGTCTCCCAGCTGTGTGCGTCACTCTTTAGTGTCCCCTGGTCTCCCAGCTGTGTGCGTCACTCTTTAGTGTCCCCTGGTCTCCAGCTGTGTGCGTCACTCTTTAGTGTCCCCTGGTCTCCAGCTGTGTGCGTCACTCTTTAGTGTCCCCTGGTCTCCAGCTGTGTGCGTCACTCTTTAGTGTCCCTTGGTCTCCCAGCTGTGTGCGTCACTCTTTAGTGTCCCCTGATCTCCCAGCTGTGTGCGTCACTCTTTAGTGTCCCCTGGTCTCCAGCTGTGTGCGTCACTCTTTAGTGTCCCCCTGGTCTCCAGCTGTGTGCGTCACTCTTTAGTGTCCCCTGGTCTCCCAGCTGTGTGCGTCACTCTTTAGTGTCCCCTGGTCTCCCAGCTGTGTGCGTCACTCTTTAGTGTCCCCTGGTCTCCCAGCTGTGTGCGTCACTCTTTAGTGTCCCCTGGTCTCCCAGCTGTGTGCGTCACTCTTTAGTGTCCCCTGGTCTCCCAGCTGTGTGCATCACTCTTTAGTGTCCCCTGGTCTCCCAGCTGTGTGCGTCACTCTTTAGTGTCCCCTGGTCTCCCAGCTGTGTGCGTCACTCTTTATTGTCCCCTGGTCTCCCAGCTGTGTGCGTCACTCTTTAGTGTCCCCTGGTCTCCCAGCTGTGTGCGTCACTCTTTAGTGTCCCCTGGTCTCCAGCTGTGTGCGTCACTCTTTAGTGTCCCCTGGTCTCCCAGCTGTGTGCGTCACTCTTTAGTGTCCCCTGGTCTCCCAGCTGTGTGTGTCACTTTTTAGTGTCCCCTGGTCTCCCAGCTGTGTGCATCACTCTTTAGTGTCCCCTGGTCTCCCAGCTGTGTGCGTCACTCTTTAGTGTCCCCTGGTCTCCCAGCTGTGTGCGTCACTCTTTAGTGTCCCCTGGTCTCCAGCTGTGTGCGTCACTCTTTAGTGTCCCCTGGTCTCCAGCTGTGTGCGTCACTCTTTAGTGTCCCCTGGTCTCCCAGCTGTGTGCGTCAGTCTTTAGTGTCCCCTGGTCTCCCAGCTGTGTGCGTCACTTTTTAGTGTCCCCTGGTCTCCCAGCTGTGTGCATCACTCTTTAGTGTCCCCTGGTCTCCCAGCTGTGTGCGTCACTCTTTAGTGTCCCCTGGTCTCCCAGCTGTGTGCGTCACTCTTTAGTGTCCCCTGGTCTCCAGCTGTGTGCGTCACTCTTTAGTGTCCCCTGGTCTCTCAGCTGTGTGTGTCACTCTTTAGTGTCCCCTGGTCTCCCAGCTGTGTGCGTCACTCTTTAGTGTCCCCTGGTCTCCAGCTGTGTGCGTCACTCTTTAGTGTCCCCTGGTCTCCAGCTGTGTGCGTCACTCTTTAGTGTCCCCTGGTCTCCAGCTGTGTGCGTCACTCTTTAGTGTCCCTTGGTCTCCCAGCTGTGTGCGTCACTCTTTAGTGTCCCCTGATCTCCCAGCTGTGTGCGTCACTCTTTAGTGTCCCCTGGTCTCCAGCTGTGTGCGTCACTCTTTAGTGTCCCCTGGTCTCCAGCTGTGTGCGTCACTCTTTAGTGTCCCCTGGTCTCCCAGCTGTGTGCGTCACTCTTTAGTGTCCCCTGGTCTCCCAGCTGTGTGCGTCACTCTTAGTGTCCCCTG